TAGTGATTTTATATCGTAAGGAGATCAAAATGTCCTGTAATAGTATGTCTAATAGTAATATGAATTGGATCTTGAATGCATCTTTGAATTGGTGAAAGAACAATCACGAAGTACTCTACCCATAAAATGAGATACTTTCAAGGTATCAAATGTTTCCAATCCTCAACAGAAACCGTGTCTTAAAGAACATTGGAAAGAAAAAGCGACTATTTTGAAAGAGACAATCAAAACCAATTTAATCTGCAAACAGCAAAGTGTCATACTGTAAATGTACCAAGTCATACTGGGATTCAACTTTTCTTTCAATCTCTCTCTCATTATTAACACCACTGCTTCCATCAGTCAACACCATGAATGCCTTTGAGGAAGGAATGAAAGTGTTTGCTGTCATTCCTCTTTGCACGGTCACTGCGCCTCTCTGTTTGGTATGAGGGCAGACTTTTCGCCCTGTCCTTGAGTGTGGTCGTTCAAAATAGTTACAAACACTCCCGCGTTTAGCCGTGGCTGGATGAGAATGACCTTTAGCAGCTGTTTTGCAGGGACAGACGTCAAGAGTTCTACACTCGAAACATGCTGAAAACTGTGTTAAACATCTACTCTAAAATAGCCCTAAAAATGTTTATCATGGTACTAACATCCTGTACAATTAAGAAAAGGGATTACTAGCCAGTTTATTGTTCTGCTTCCAGAATTAAATGTCCTTGATTCCTGATGATTTATGCTTTTCATAAAACATTTTGCCATTGCCTGATTTTCTCTTCATCGTCTCTCATGGCTCTGGACTTCACCTACCTAATATCACTCAATAAATACATGTACCATACATGACGTTTGCTGTAGCTATGTTCGTATGACAAAATAAAGAACCTTGAAGGATACTCAAAATGACCACAAAGAAGCACAAAAAAACCTACAAAGATCAAAAATACTCTAAGACCATCAACATAACATTATACACAATATGCTGTCAGTCTGCAGTACTGAAGCCAGCAAGAGTCCGCGACACAGAGCATGAATGTGTTTGGTGGAAGAAGCGGGAAAACACAAACAAGAAAACGGGACGACAGATGTGATTCCACTCTCAGCTCACAGTAACTGTAAATATTGTTGTGGACAAAGCCACAATTCCCTGGATGCTAACCACCGAATGCAATCAAAGCGCAAAAGAACTAGCTAAAACTGAGACCTGGCTTTTCGTAGCTGTCTTAAAAAACAGTATCCTTGATCGAGCGACAGTGTCAGCGAATGAGGATCGAGTGACAACCGTCGAGTGACAACCGTGGACTAACAAAAGAGCTTAGAACCTGCTATTGCTTTTAAGGGCCTGGTCGTGTGGAAAATAACAATATAAAGTATAAATAATTCAGAAATCTTACTGCTTTCAGCACTGAATGCAAATATTTCAGCAGGTCAATTTAAGGCCAACATCTTCTCATGTATATAAAATAGCTTTAAGAGCAAGAAAAGAAACAGGAAAACCTACAGAGCTTTAATCTGCCTCTCTGAAGCAATTCCAACAAAACTTCAATATGTCAACAGCAAATTTCCTTTTGCCCCCCCCCCCACATCTTAATTGCAGAAGAGACCCATCCTGCTTATCGCTTCTGCCCCTCTAAGCCCACCGAAGTCTTTCAGTATAGAGCTTTCATTAGCCGCTGATATCTGTCAGTCCTGCTGGGCTCTGCAGGCTTTGGCCTTCATTACCGAGCATGAGACACAATCGACTGCATGAGGCTCTCTGTTTAGACAACCAAAAACAGATAAGTATTCATTTGATGTGTTGCTCTATTCTACTTCGCCCCCGTCCGTTTTGTTTTTATTCTATTCTTCAAAAAAGCGTGGGCTGCACGTGTCAAATGAAATGTTGCAGCAACAGAATCCCCTGACAGCATGTCGTGTGTTCGTCTCTGAGCGAACGCGGGTTTTGTGCTCTGCCTCGTTCCATTGGCCATTTTTCTTTGAAAAGAGAGATTCACTGCCACGCTGATGACATCTGTGCTTGATGCCCTGCAACACACAGTGCAGTGCACAACTTGTTCATTACTTTACCCTGTGCCAGCCTCTATGTATTCCCATGTTGCATACAGTCATGCATAAAAGATGAACAGAAATACTTTGTTTATTAGTTGTTTACAGCGTCAAACATTGTTAATTCATCAGAGAATGCTCTGTTTTTGCTATTGATATTTTTCTGTAACATGTAATGAACCAGTATTCGAACAAATCTTTCATAGCAATTCAGACAACACATTCTCTTCTTTAAGGAAACTGTTAATACAAATGTAGAATAAAGCATCCATATTTCACACCTTATTCTTAGAAAAAGCACAGGTGTTGTACTTGAGAAAGGCAGCATGTGAAAACAAAAGTAATTCACAGAGCTGTTTTAAATCATATTGTGGCAAGTTCAAGTGAGCTCTCAAGTCTTTAAAGATCATGTCATGGCCATTTCTACTGATCATAATTTCATGGTTGACAAGATATACTAGAATAGATTTATATTGTTCAATGTTCCAAAGTCACATTGGTTTATCATACAGCATCTCTGTATGGTATGTGTATTCACTCTCTGTCCTAAACGGCTTGTTGGAGCTCCTGCCCCCCCCTCCCTGTGAGCCCACTTTGCTCTGATTGGTCAGCTCACCCACTCTGTTCTGATGAGTCCACCACCGTTACAGCGGAACATCAGTGATTATGTGTTACAAAGGTGTTTGTTAGTAACCAGAAAATGACACCAGTAAGGACAAACAGATGAGAATGCTGCGTGGGGGCTGGGTGCCGTGTTGGCGGAACGTTGTGCGGCTCGCTGCTGCGAGGAGCGGACAGTGTGAGCTGGCTTCATTTCCTGCTTGCTGCGTGGGATCTGCGAGACAGCGAGACATCGCGAATGGACGCGGGAAGGGGGGGTGCTGAGGGGGCTGCAGCACCCCCATCTGCGAGGCTCCACTAGGACCCGCACCCCCAAACGTGGCGCACCTACAGTGTAAGCGCGCCACAGTTTCACCGCTGCGAGGCTCTACTAGCACTAGCACCCCCAGCGCGTCATAATGGGTCCATTTGGGTATGGTCACGTCACTGTACCCAGGAAGAAAAAGAAAAAGAGAAATCTCCAACGAGGCGTTCTGGGGCAGCATAGACAGGTCTTTTCTGTGTTAGAGTTTTACTCGCTACAGGGTGTACTTTGAGGGTTTGTGACTTTGCAGACCGTTTACATCCAGAAAAACATTCATAACACACAAGGGGACGGGTAATAACCGGAAAAGCATGACATGGGACCTTTAAGTCTATAAACAACAGTTGCCTTTAAAAAACAGTTTTTTTCCCAAAGTAATTGAGACTTTTTTTATTCAATGTATTGATTCAATAATTACATATTCAAGGTGTGCTGCAATGCCATATAAATGTCCTGAACATTTCCTATTGCTAAATCATTTACCAGATCATAACATGAGCCTTGAATATTTGTCTTTTAAATCAAATCTCTAGACAGAGTAATACAGCATTGAAGTCCAAGTCTTTTTAATTGTGAAATCTAAATAAAGTCTTTGTGTACAGTGTACAGCTCTATAATTCTATAAAAAAGAAAGAAATAATGAGGGATAAAACATTGAGCAGAAAGGTTTCAGTGCAGCTCATACAGACATGTTAACATTTAGATGTTTTAATCACATGTTCCATTATCTTTAAAGCCAGCGTGCAGTGCTGAGCTGCATGTATGTGCGACATCAAAGTGGGTGGGCAGAGTGGGAACACAGCAGCGTGATGTGCCTGCAGGGTGAAGCAGCTTGTTTTAAAAAGTCAAAGAGTGCATGTCCTCTCTCAACCAAAGAAAGCACACTATCTCTCAAGCGGCAAACATGCTAATGGACCATAATGCAGCTAATGGGCAGTATTAACAATACTGTTATAGTAGACACTCATGTTAACATTATGGTAACAAATGCATGGGTTTCAAGCCCTATGGAGCAAAACTCAGCGAGTGGAAAAAACCCTGAAGCAGCTGGGAGCAGAATGATGACAAAATGGATTCAGCCGATTGCTGAAACATCACTCTGCTTTGCATACTTCCAATTTTCACAATTTCACCCAAAAGGGCACACCCACCCACACTACTACTTAGTCGTGTTCATCAAATTAGGGCTTTTTAAATGTACACAATGTTCAAATGTTCAGTAGGCGGATATTAATTGTTCTTTCTCATTGTGAACTGAAGCAAAAACCTTATTGTTTTGCTGTTGTATAACTCCTTTGTGTGTAGGTGTACTGAACTTCCTTATGTGTGTTTATTTATAAGCTTTTTTGCACGTTACTTGAAAATAATGATGTTTGATTCTGTTTTAAGGTGCCATTTTGACATGCGGGACAACAGAGCTCATTTAACTACCGTATTACTCTTTCTTTGTTGTTTGAAATGAAATGCCTCTGACAAATCAAATAAACTCAGCCTCTACAAGTTTGGATAACTTTTCTTGTAAGGAAATGGCTTCCAGATGTTGGCTTGCTATGGTTGAAAGGAATATTTAGGAAAAAAAGGGCGAAAAGGTAACATACTCTCTCCAGTACAACTTAGCTCTGAGTGTTCGCGATGCTTGCTAATGTAAACAAAGACCATATTACTTCCAAAACATGTCGCACATTGTTTACGATAGTGATGTTTCTGATAGTGCCGTGGGTGTAAAGCCAGTCCACATTTCTGATATTACGTCCTAACCGACGCAAATCTGGATCGGCTCCATTGTACCCCTGTTTTTAGAGAATTGGGTACGGAGGAAAAGAGAGAGGGGTTTTGTTTTCTGACATTTTGCCTAC